GCTCACTTTATAGCCCAGGCTGGTCTTGAACTTGCAACGATCCTCCTGCCTCAGCCTCCCGAGTGCTGGGATTACAGGCATGCGCCACCACGCCCAGGATCTTGTATTTTTTTTCCAAGAAATGTTTACTTAAACTCTATAACTAACTCAAGGTTAGTAGTACCATAAAAGTGTAATAGCATAGAAAGTAACTAACCCAGTGCAGCATATCAGTATTAGAATGAGAATGTGGGACACTCTGCAGTCTTCTCTGAACTGCTTGCTTTAACATCTGAAGTGTGCAGTGCTTGCTCTTTGCAAATACACTTCACATCTACATTTTCTGCCATAACTGCGAGACAGGTACAGCAGATGTTCTGCTCATCACACACATAAGGAAGTGGAGGTTTCACCATTTCATCAAGTTCATACTACGTAACAAAATAGGGGTTCTTCTAACGGGATACTTTCCCCACTATCTTAGAGAAGTAGTGAATTCAGCAGAAAAAGCATGGGCTTTGGAGTCAGGCCCATGAATTCTAAATGTAACAACTGTGCCATACCAAGCAAGTGGTATAATCTCTCTAAAACTCACTTTCCCCATTTATAAATGGAGTACTGTCACGTCTCTCATGAAGTTGTTGTGAAAGCCAAAACGAACAATTGTAGCAGCTATCAGGAATACTGCAGCATAAATATGCATTCAGCTAGCTGTAGCTATTATTAGCATAAAATGCTACCCAGCTGTGAAAATTGATAGCAAGGCAATTCTAAAGCACATGTAAATGTAAGCAAATTAGACACAACTTAATTGGAGTCTTCCAACAGACCTGACAAACGGGTGGATTTTTTCACTTAGTTGGACTTTCTTTTTAACATCCTGGCCACCCTGAAAAATAAAACATCAAAACAGAACTTAAGTAACAAATAGAATAATTTAAAATTTTCTTCCATGTGTTTTATTATTGTATTTAAAATTATATAACTTCATAAATTAGTCTTTCTTTCCTTTTTTTTTGTTGGTACTGGGAATTGAACTCAGGACGTCATGCTTGCCAGGTAGGCGATGTGTCACTGAGCTACGTCCCCAGCCCTAAATTAGTCTCTCTTTTATCAAAGGAGGATACTTATGGCAAATATGAAATATCTTCTCTTTTAAAAACAGGGTCTCCCCATGTAGTTCAGGCTGGCCTCAAATTCACTGTGTAGCCCAAGCTGGCCTCAAACTTACTGTGACCCAATTGCCTCAGTCTCCCAAGTGCTGGGATTACAGGCATGCACCACCACACCTGGCACAAAATATCTTAAACAATGTAGTTACCATAGCTTTACTTTAAAAAATTATTCTATTATTTTCTTAGATGAGGTCTTGCTATGTTGCTCAGGTTGTTCTTAAATTCATGGGCTTAAGTGATTTTCCTACTTTAGCGTTCTGAATGCTGGGACTACAGCCATGTCCTTCCATGCCTGGGTTGCTACTATGACTTTTTTTTGGTACCGGAATCAGGACCTTGCATTTGCCAGGCAGGTGCTTCTGTTGCTGAGCTATATCCCCGGCACTGCTACTATGACTTTAAATGGTCATTGGTAAGATCATCTACTCTGGAATGTGAGTGGTATAAAGATAGTTTACCTTTTTTTGGTGGTCCTAGAACTCAAACTCAGGAGCACTGTACAAGTAAACCACATCCTTACCCCTTTTTAATTTTATCTTGAGACAGAATATGTGTATTTTTTTGTACCGGTAATCAAATGCAAGACCTTGCACTTGCCAGGCAGGCACCATGCCACTGAGCTATATCGCCAGCCTTGAGACAGAATATTACTAAATTGTCTAGGCTGGCCTGGAATGTGTGACCCTTGTTTCAGCATCTCAAGTAGCTGGAATTCAGGCATGGGCCACCACGCCTGGCTTTTATTTTGAGATTTTTTTTTTTTTTTTGAGACAGGGTCTCGCTATGCAGTTCAGGCTGGCCTTGAACTCGCAACAATCCTCCTGCCTCAGCCTCCTGAGTGCTGCGATTACAGGCGTGCGCCACCACACTCGGCCCAGGCTTGTCTTAAATTTGTCATTCTCCTTCCTTAGCTTCCCAAGGAGTTAGGATTATAGGTGTGCATCACTGCTTCCAGAAAGACAGCTTAAATTTTTGTTACTAAGCATACCAGAGTTGGTATCATCTAGTAAATAAAGAAATGTAAATTATAATTAAGAGGTCCTTACCTTTACAAGACTCAGATACTCAACTATCCCAGAACGTACCGCAGAGGACAGTTTTCTAACTGATTCATCACAGACCCAACAATGAACACCTCTCCTTCCAGAATACACCCAGAGACGATGCTTAAACCCAAAGTCCTCTGTGGAGGGAGAAGTGAGTAATTAAGTTTTAAGAAAACGTATAAACTCCTCGTACTTGCTTACTTCCTTAGCGTCATTTCTTCTGTTCACATATACTTTCACGTAAACCATACTAAATTACCTATCTACTGTGTCTTTCATGTTTTTGCCTTCATGACTTTAACCACTGTGGTCTTCCTCAGAATTTCTTTATGCCCAGCACTTTCTTTCTTTCTTTTTTTTTTTTTT